GTGAACCAATGGCAAAGGAAGACCTTTCTCTCTGTCTCTCTCTCTCACTGTCCACTCTGCCTGTCAAAAAATTTAAAAAAAAAAAGTAACTTGTTTGTATTTTTTTTTATTTTTATTTTTTTTTTTTTGACAGGCAGAGTGGACAGTGAAAGAGAGAAAGGTCTTCCTTTTCTGTTGTTTCAACCCCCAATGGCCGCTGTGGCCTGCGCGCTGAGGCCAGTGCATTGCGCTGATCCGAAGCCAGGAGCCAGGTGTTTCTCCTGGTCTCCCATGCGGGTGCAGGGCCCAAGGACCTGGGCCATCCTCCACTGCACTCCCTGGTCACAGCAGAGAGCTGGACAGGAAGAGGAGCAAATGGGATAGAATCCGGCACCCCAACTGGGACTAGAACTCGGTGTGCCAGTGCCACAGGTGGAGGATTAGCCTATTGAGCCGCAGCGCCAGCCTGTATTTAATTTTTCTGAAAGTATTTGTCTCTTTTCTACATTTTGATGCAACAATGAGTTTTAATTGTTGAATTGTTCCAAAATCTTACCAATTTTGTTTTCTGAAACTGCAGAAATATTATTTATTTATTTATTTATTTTCATTTATTTATTTATTTTTTGACAGGCAGAGTTAGACAGTGAGAGAGTGAGACAGAGAGAAATGTCTTCCTTCCGTTGGTTCAGCCCCTAGATGGTCGCCCCACGGTTGGCGTGCTGTGCAGATCCGAAGCCAGGAGCCAGGTGCTTCCTCCTGGAATTAATATATATGCTTTATACTACACTATAATAAATACAGTAGATTTGTATAATTATCATTTAATTTGGTACCATTACTATTAATGCAATAGTAATTACACATTATGAGGGAAAACAACAGAAAATCCTGCTAGCAGGGTATGTCTTTCATATATGGAAATGCACTTTTATATATGGCTTTTATCTATCCATTCATTTAAAACCTAGTGTTTTTCTACCTAGTTAGAATAAAAGAGCATTAATTACAGAGTGAAACAAAATTAATTTTTATCCAATCTCTGATATAGAATTGAATGTGCTTAGAATGGTAACAAAAGGTATAAATTTTAATGAGGTAATTTTGGTTCTCAAATGTTATAATTTTAATTTGGAAAAATACTACTTTTCTGGTTTTTTTTTTATTTTTTTTTTTTTTGACAGTCAGAGTTAGACAGTGAGAGAGAGAGAGACAGAAAGAGGTTTTCCTTTTTCTGTTGGTTCACCCCCAAAGTGGCTACTTAAGACCGGCGCGTTGCGCCCGGCGTGCTGCGACAATCCGAAGCCGGAAGCCAGAAGTCAGGTGCTTCCTCCTGGTCTCCCATGTGGGGGCAGGGCCCAAGGACCTGGGCCATCCTCCACTGCACTCCCAGGCCACAGCAGAGAGCTGGACTGGAAGAGGAGCAACCGGAACAGAATCCAGCGCCCCGACCGGGACTAGAACCTGGGGTGCCGGCGCCACAGGCGGAGGATTAGTCAAGTGAGCCACAGCAACGGCAAAATACTACTTTTCAAAACCTGAAATGCATTATAGAATTGGAAATGGAATGATTTAGATAAACTTTTTCTTTCAGTTCTTTCAGAAATTAGAAAAATATAAAGCTTGAATAAGAAAAGACCATTTGATATAGGGATAATTTTTAATAGTAGATATCAAGGTAAAAAATTCAGTTAAGGAAACTGGGAAAGTATCCTTTTAGAAAGGCAGGGTATAGAAAAGGAATATTACTTGTAAAATTTAATATTGAAGACCTAAAGGATTACAAATGCAGTTTTGTAATTTTTTGTCACTGTTAACAATAAGCATATTGAGAAAAGCAAAAATAAAATTAAATTTATTTGAAAAGCAGTAAAGTTGACAATAAGCAGCTGAATGCAGATTATTTTTTATAGTCTTTTCAGTTTAAGGTAAACAAATTTCATGTATTTCATACACACAGTTTTGGTAACATAGTTATACTACCCACTGTCCCCTCCCACTCACCCATGCTCCCAAACTTCCTCCTCCTTCCTCTTTTATTCCCACTCTTAATCTTGACGATGATCTAACTTGAGTTTACTTTAGACCAATAAGATTAGCCATACACTAAGTGTTCAACAAATAGAACATAACACAGTATTCCTCAACAGTAGAGACAAAGGCTGTAAAGAACCATCGAGTCTCAAAATGTCAATGTCACTCCTATATATTACATTTTTCTCAACATTAATAGTAAGTAGATTGAGAAAACACCTGCAATGAAGTGTATTTGAAAAGCAGTAAAATCGAAAAGCAGCAACTGAATGCAGATTTATCTACAACATTCTTTCAAATTCACAAGAACGAACCCTCAGTTTTATAGCTGTTCATGTAGAAGTAGAGTTAAAATGTTTTCAAGGCACTTTTGAACAGTGGCATTCAGACAATTTCTGCCAAAAATGCATCTTTTTAAAAACACAAATGGACCTTGATAATTCATTAGAATTATGTGAAGAAACAGAAAAAGGTGGCAAAGTTTTAATATGTAAAATAATCCATTAAAATAATACAAATGATTTTACAACTAACTACCATTTAGATAAACAAGTACTACAAAGTGTATCTGAGAGAATTATCGATTTTTATACTAAAATATGGAGACATATAAAGAGGTATTCCAAAAAAGGTACTTTTAATCCAAATATGCACTAGGGAAATTGCTAATTTTGTAGAGTGTGTAATATAAATATGTATGTTTGGATTTATGTTAGCAATTTGAGCTTTTAGGACTGTGAAGGGCACACAGTATTTAAGTTGGTCTTTACTGAAACATTATAATGCCGACTAAATATCCTGTAGTATATTTGGAGTGAACGTCATCTTGAGCAAGGCATGATAATCTTAACTTCACACAATATCATTACACTTGTTTAATAACATTATCAGAACTGGATATAAATTTAATAAATGAATGATTACAAAATAAGAAAAATGATAAGCATAGTTTTAGTTTGTTTCCTGATATAATTCCTAGTCTTTGCCCCCTTTCATAATTGACATTTCTCAACTGCTGTTCCTCTCTGATCACTCAGCTGCAAGAGAACTTGACCCTGCCTTCCTGAGGCTGAGAGCTAGCTCATTATCAATTCCAACACAGCTCTGTCAGCTATCTTATGCCCCTGCAAAGGACAAGCTGTTTTCCTGGTGCTCTAAGTAGACTACGATTTAGGAGTCAGTCTCCACCCCTAGTAATTGTTAAACTGGTATCTTAAGCCATAAGTGGCAAGAAGTGACTGGGCCAGTGCCTTGAGGGCCTCTGAGTCAGCCACTCTGTGCTGTGCTGCCTTGCAATTATGGAAGGGGTAGTAAAGCTTGATATCCAGTAGGAAGATGTATGGGAACCAAAGGATCATGCTGTAACCCTGCTTGCTGGTACTCATCTCAGCAATGGCCCATAATGCCACATGGTGCAGCACCAACAGGAAGCACTCGTCACCCACCAGCATGGTGATGCACATGCCATCTTGAATATTATCGATTTTGAAAAACACTAAAATTCCTTATGTAGCAACTGTAAAATATGTGTTTTCTGTGCTCTGAGGCTACTCATGCAGTATTCATGGTTTTCTTTATCCTTTTATTCTGCTTTTAAGTTTATAACAAGAGAAAAAGTTTCATGTGTTTCCTATGGACAGATTTAAGAGCATAATGATACTTCCCACCCTCCTTTGCCGGCCTCCTTCGCTCCCACCCTCCTTCCTCTGTCTTTTCTTATTTTTCTTTTGAATTTTCTGATGACATATTGTCAATCTACTTTATAATCACAAGCTTAGCCCTTCACTAAATAAAGAATTCAGCAGATTGTAGATACTGTTATATTAAGACAGCTCTAATACCTTGGGTTCCTCCACAAGAATAAACTCTATTGTGAACAGTGGAATAAAACTTATGAGCTTCTAAATAAAGACTTTCCACTGGATCACACCCAGAAACCTAACTGTACTTATCGAGTATTGCCTTTATTTTGCCTCCATATTCATCCTGCTAAATGGAGTTCTCTGAGTATCATCTAGTATCCAGCTGACTCACAAATCCCTTACTGATTAAATGAACGTTTCAATTTATTTTCCAGAATATTTTTATTTTAATGAAATTTTACTTTAACAAAATGATCTGAGAAAAATCTGTTTCTCATGCCTACCCATCACTATTCAGTAGAAGTGAGCCCTATATTCCACTCACACTCAAAGGAGGAAATTACAGAGTGAGACAATCAGGAGATATCCTTTGGAGACTTGTGGGAGCTTCTTGCCACGGTGCCTTAGGACCCATTTCACTTGGTGCTGTGCATGCAAGCCCAAAATATAACGGTTCCTTAGATACACACACCAAGTGATTGGAGACAACCAAACACACTCTATTAAAGAACACAGGCCTCTATACTTTTCCTCTTGTCTGGATTGCACAAATGCCACTAGCCACTCCAGCACCACCTTACACAAGTGCCCTTAAATGAATGCTGTCATTCTACAGAAATTTAAAATAGTACCTGCATGTTAATTTGACCCTTCCTTATAAAAAGGTGTAATCTCATTCTTTCATTTTGACTATGCCAACCTTAGTGCCTCATTTCAAAGAAACAGAATGTATGAAGTGATACCATGAGCTTCTGAGATGTGGTCCGAACAAATGACATGTCTTCTCTGTCTGTCTCCTTGGGCTGATAGGAACAAGGCATGCTGCCCTGAAGCCTCCTTGCCAGGGACCACTTTGATGCTGAGGAGCACCTGTGGTTCCAGCTCAAGCTCCAGACTTGTGACTGGTGGATCCCAGGAACAGCTCTCAAGGCAGCATTCATTGAGAGGTGGTAAAATGTCCCTAAGAAGACCTGACCAACTTTCAGTTAAACAAAATGAATGCTGCTATTACTCTAAGAGACGGAGTTAGGACTTCTGTACAAATAGGTAATGTTTAAATTGTTTATGTATAATCTTCCAAGAGAAATAAATGGACAAAGCATTTATGTAAATCTCCACAAATTATAACAAAGTGAATGCACTCGTGCAAAAAAAAGTAACACCAAACTTACTTATGTTCCCAAAAGTCAGTTTGTGGCCAGCGCCGTGGCTCACTAGGCTAATCCTCTGGCCTGAGGCGCCGGCACCCCAGGTTCTAGTCCCAGTTGGGGTGCCAGATTCTGTCCCGGTTGCTCCTCTTCCAGTTCAGCTCTCTGCTGTGGCCTGGGAAGGCAGTGGAGGATGGCCCAAGTGTTTGGGCCCTGCACCCGCATGGGAGACCAGGAGGAAGCACCTGGCTCCTGGCTTCGGATCGGCACAGCACGCCGTCCGTGGTGGCCATTTGGGGGGTGAGCCAACAGACGAAGGACCTTTCTCTGTTTCTCTCTCTCTCAGTCTAACTCTGCCTGTCAAAAAAAAGTCACTTTGTTCTCTCATTCTCGGTGTAGCTAATGTTATTTTTTTTTTCATTTTATAACAGTGGAATATTTAAAGAAAAATTTTTAACATATACAAAGAAAAAAAAAGGATCAGAGACTTGTCACCAGTTTGTTACAACTAATCATGTTCCATTTTTGTTCTAACTACTTAAAATATTTTGGTTTTTTTTTTGTTCCTAGATTTATTTCTTAATTGGAAATGCAACTTTACAAGGGAAGAGGGAAAGAGACAGGCATCTTTTACCCACTGGTTCACACCTCAAATGGCCAAAATGATTAGGGCTGGCTAGGGTGAAGGCAGGAACCAGGAGTTTTACCCAGGCCCCCCAACATGAGAAGCAGAGGTGCAAATACTTGGATCATCTTACACTGTTTCAGAAGTGAAAAAGTTGGAACTCAGGGCTGGCACTGTGGCGCAGTGGGTTAAATTCTTGGCCTGAAGCATCAGCATTCCATATGGGCACTGGTTCTAATCCTGGCTGCTCCTCTTCCAATCCAGCTCTCTGCTATGGACTAGGATAGCAGTAGAAGATGGCCCAAGTCCTTGGGCCCCTGCACCCATGTGGGAGACTCAGAAGAAGCTCCTGGCTTTGGATCAGCACAGCTCCGGCCATTGCGACGATCTGAAGGGTGAACCAGCGGATGGAAGCATCGCTCTCTGTCTCTACCTCTCTCTGCAACTCTGTCTTTCAAATAAAAAATAAATCTTAAAAAAAAGGAGTTGGGACTCATATTAGCACCCATATGAGATATAAGTAGTGATTAACACACTGTGCTAGGGGCCCCAGTTTTCTTTTCTTGTAGTGTTAAAATGCACATACATCTTATCTGTATGGAAGTGACAAACTAATACACTCATATAACCTTTAATCTTTTTTAAAAATAGATTATTTCTATCCCAAACAGAAAATTTCCTCATCTTTCTTGGAGTCCTTGAATAAGCTATATATCATTGAACACTAACCACAGTGCATCAAATACCTATGCTTGGAGCCCATGAAAATATATATTGCTAATTGGAAATTTGTATAACGAAATGGGCCAACTTTTATGTGTTCAAAAAACTTGGAAGAATAAGAAATGAGAAAGTAGGTGATGCTGATTGAGATACAGGAGAACCCGTATTTTCACAGATGTAAGTGTAACAAATGCTTTGGTAGAAAACCATAGTACTGTGTGGTCATTGTGTTGCAGCAGGTTAAGCCACCTCTTGGGATGAGTTACATAAGATTTCCTGTGATTGGATCCGTACCCATTTGTTTTATTTATTTATTTGAAAGGGAGAGATAGAAAGAGAGGTAGAGTGGTAGAGCAGTAGAGAGAGAGAGGAGAATATCTTAGATCAGTTACTTCACTCCTCAATGTTAAGGGCAAAGCCAATACCCCAGAATTCCATTCAGGTTTCCCATGTGGGTAGTACAGGCCCAAGTACCCAGCCATCATGTGCTGTTTTCCCACTCACATTAGGAGGGAGTTGGATTAGAACTGAACACCTGGACTTGAATCAGTACTTTGGTGTGAAATGCCAGCATCATAGGCAGCAGCTTAACTCACTACACCACTATGCAGGCCCCACCTCCATTTCTGACCCAATTTCCTTATAGTACACCTGACAAAGAACAAATGATTAATCAAGTATTTGGGTCCTTGCCACATACATAGGAGATCCAGATGGAGTTCCTCACTCCTGCCATTGGCCTAGCCCAGCACTAGATGTTGCGTGCATTTGGGGAGTGAACCAGCAGATGGGAAATCTGTGTGTCTATGTGTGTGTGTGTGTGTGTGTGTGTGTGTTATGGATTTCAAATAAATGATGTATATTAACATTAGAAGAGAAAATCATAGTACATATGTGCACATGGATTTAATATATGGAAAAACATCAAAAATTTTAAATTTTAAAACAAAAAGAAAGCATAAAAGCAAAAGAACATCGTACTTCCTTCTCTACACTAATCCCAAAAATCAAAGGACTTGGTAGGTAAGGGAAAATTGGAATAGATTGTAAATTCACTAGCAAATAGAAACAAAGTAAACTTCAGAATGAAATTACCAACAAGCAAGTGAAATGTAGGTATGATATGTGGACTCTCTGAATAATTTTGTAGTCTGTGTAATAGCAGTTGATGTCATTACAAGACAAGGATAGCCTGAGAAAATTCTTTGGTAATGCTTAGGGAGTTCTTCTCCAAGCAGGTCATTCAGCTGGCCAACAGAAAAGATTCTGAATGACATCTGATTTCTGTTTTCAATAGTCATGTTTTCACAGAAATTTATGATAAAGAGGTTTCAAGACTCAAAAAAAAAGGCCCTACTTTTATAGTCTAAGGTAGAAAGACACCAGCAGGATTCCTATTCAGTAAATCATAAATCATGATCCCAAAATTACCCTGGAAACAGATCTGACTTCTTTTTTACATTTTTAATTTATTAATATAAACAGAACAGATTGAATGTAAATTGATTAAATTACAGATAAATGTCTTAGAAACTTCATATGTAGTTCTTAAAACAGTACTTAAAAACTAGGTTCTGTTTCTGCTAGAAATTTCCTCTACAAGTCATTCTGCAGACCTCTCACTAATTTATTCAGATAAAAATACATATAAGTCATTCTAGTATTATCTAGGGCACCATAATCTGAACATCAAAATTCACACACAGAAACTTCTGCATGTAAATACAGATATATACTATGAGCTCCTGCATGACCACATGACAACAAATTAAGTAACTTTTAAAATGTTCAGTGTCATTGTTGCATTTTGATTCCAAAAACTACATGATATTTTTCATACAGTTCAGTGTCATCTGTCTAAATATAGTTTCTCAGAAAGGAATGATATTGTATTTCCATGGCTTAGCATCACATAGACATTAATAGAGTGTCCAAAATTTTATAATAAACTTTGATACACTTATGCAAAGACTCTAGGAAAAAAATCTATTTTTACACAATACTCTTGGATAACATATTCTCAAAAATAAAATTTGCAGTTAAGTCTTTCATCAAAAATACAATTGAACAAATTACTTTTTCAGTGTAGTTAAGCCATATTGAAATGTTATTGCAGTTTTACAATGTGATATGCACAATGGCACAACTAGAGTTACCAGACAAAATGTTTGCATCAGGATATGTTTACAAGTGCTTTTTTTGCATTATAATGATAGTGTTAAAACTACAGAGACATGAATCACCTATCTACATATTTCTAGACAGATTATATAGTAAAAATACATTGGTCAATCAATAGGGACTAAAAATAATACAAAACCTTCAGGAAAAACTTTTCTGCACCTTACTTTTTTTTTTATCTTTTATTTAATGAATATAAATTTCCAAAGTACGAATTATGGGTTACAATGGCTTCCCCCCCCATACCGTCCCTCCCACCCACAAACCTCCCCTTTCCCACTCCCTCTCCCCTTCCATTCACATCAAGATTCATTTTCAATTCTCTTAATATACAGAAGATCAGCTTAGTATACCTTAAGTAAGGATTTCAACAGTTTGCTCCCACACAGAAACATAAAGTGAAAAATAATAGATGATTTTTTTTAAATGATGATGAAATCAGATCAGACCTATTGTCATGTTTAATCCCAGTGAGAGTCAAGTTGGGAATTGATAATTTCTTTTTTGTTTGTTTGTTTGTTTTTTACAGAAGATCAGTTTAGTGTACATTAAGATTTCAATCGTTTGCACCCCCATAGAAACACAAAGTGAAATATACTGTTTGAGTACTCGTTATAGCATTAAGCCTCAGTGTACAGCACATTAAGGACAGAGATCCTACATGAGGAGTAAGTGCACAGTGACTCCTGTTGTTGACTTTACAAATTGACACTCCTGTCTATGGCATCAGTAATCTCCCTATGCTCCAGTCATGAGTTTCCAAGGCTATGGAAGCCCCTTGAGTTCTCCGACTCTTATCTTGTTTAGACAAGGTCATAGTCAAAGTGGAGGTTCTCTCCTCCCTTCAGAGAAAGGCACCTCCCTCTTTGAAGACCTGTTCTTTCCACTGGGATCTCACTCACAGAGATCTTTTGCCAGAGTGTCTTGGCTTTCCATGCCTGAAATACTCTCATGGGCTTTTCAGCCAGATCCGAGTGCCTTTAGGGCTGATTCTGAGGCCAGAGTGCTATTTAGGACATCCACCATTCTATGAGTCTGCTGAGTATCTCACTTCCCATGCTGGATCACTCTCCCCTTTATTTATTCTATCGGTTAGTGTTAGCAGATACTAGACTTGTTTATGTGCTCCCTTTGACTCTTAGTCCTTTCATTATGATCAATTGTGAACTGAAATTGATCACTTGGAATAGTGAGATGGCATTGGCACATGCCACCTTGATGGGATTGAATTGGAATCCCCTGGTATGTTTCCAACTCTACCAATTGGGGCATCACACAGTTATTCATAAGTGTTGAAAATTAACTGAAATGTGATCCCTGTTAAACATAAGAGTGGGAATAAGAGAGGGAAGAGATGTATAATTTGGGGCATGCTCGGGCTGACTTGCCCCAATTGCACCTTACTTTTAAAATAGCGATATTCACGGTGCCGGCACACCGGGTTCTAGTCCAGGTCGGGGCACCAGATTCTGTCCCGGTTGCCCCTCTTCCAGGCCAGCTCTCTGCTGTGGCCAGGGAGTGCAGTGGAGGATGGCCCAAGTACTTGGGCCCTGCACCCGCATGGGAGACCAGGATAAGTACCTGGCTCCTGCCATCAGATCAGCATGGTGCGCCGGCCACAGCGCGCCAGCCACGGCAGCCATTGGAGGGTGAACCAACGGCAAAGGAAGACCTTTCTCTCTGTCTCTCTCTCTCACTGTCCACTTTGCCTGTCATAAAATTAAAAAAAAATTCAAATATGGATATTCATTGTGGAAAGTGCTACATAACCAACAAAGTAATACCTACTATGTGAAATGATACTTGAAATCTTACCAAGTCTTATATGAACATCTAGGTTCAGGAAACTCAAGGACACAAAACAGACTCTCCAAAAAGCATATTCTTCAAGACATATTTTAGACAAATTGGCAAAAGTAAAGGAAAAGGAGAAAATCCTAAAGATAGAGAATGCTGTCACATTTCACATATATATATATGAAAATCAATGAGACAACCAGCCAGCTTCTCAACAGAAAACCTACAGGCCAGAACAGACTGGGTTGATAAATGCAATATTAAGACAAAATAACCAAAAAGTGAACCAAAAACATATATCAAGCAAAGCTAACCTTTAGAGGTGAAGGAGAGGGGCCAGCACTGTGGCGTAGTGGGTTAAAGCCCTGGCCTTTCTTCAGTGCTGGCATCCCATGTGGGCGCTGGTTCTAGTCCTGGCTGCTCCTCTTCTGATCTAGCTCTCTGCTATGGCCTGGGAAAGCAGTAGAAGATGGCCCAAGTCCTTGAGCCCCTGCACCCACGTGGGAGACCCAGAAGAAGCTCCTGGCTTCTGGCTTTGGATCAGCGCAGCTCCGGCCATTGAGGATCTGGGGAGTGAACAATTGGACGGAAGACTTCTCTCTCTGTGTCTCTACCTCTCTCTGTAACTCTGTCTTTCAACTAAATAAAATTTTAAAAAATCTAAAAAAAGAAGTGGAGAAGTAAACTATTCCACAGACATGCCAAAACAGAGAATTCTACACCAGCATACCTGCCTTACAAGAAATACTTAAGTGACTCCTACATTAGAAGTAAACATGGTGAAAAGAAATAACACTGGCAGATTTACAGTGTTGATACCATCAGCAACCAATCACCACAATGGCAGGTGGCAGTTCTTACCTCTCAATACTAAACTTGAATGTAAGCAGATTAAATTTCCTAGTCAAATACAAAGTGGTATAGATTAGAAAAAACAAATTTATGCTGACTAAAAGAAACTCACTTCACAAGTAAAGAAACACATGTACTGAAAGGTAACGGATAGAAAGTGATACACCATGCAAATGAGAACAGAAAACATGTGATAGGAGCAATGCACATATTAGAAAAAAATAACATATTAAACCAAAAATGTAGAAATTATATTAAGTACAAACTATAGAAAGAGA